AAGTTAGTACCTCCCGGGGTCCTAAGCTGCTCACATTTCAAACAGTCAACCTTCGAGGCTCCAGTTATCGGAGCCCAGCGTTTGAGCCCAGCGTTGTTTGCCGCCAGCAGCTTGCCCTGGGGCTAGGAACCAGCAGAGACCAGGCTGTGATGGAAGGGCACTGAATCCCAGCATGCTGTGCGCACACTGGGGCCGAGGAGGATGGACGAGGGATGCCGGGACTTTCCCCTCTGAGCTGTGCCTGGGTCACTGGGGCTGGCCGCTGTGGAGGTGGGCAGGTGACGCTGAGTCATGTCAGGGCGCTGGGTGTGGTTCCTTGGATCAGAACCAGAGTTGACACGAAGGTTCCAGTAACGGGTGGCTGAGCTGGGCTAATTGCGGCTGCTGTCCTGGCCCCTCCCTGCACAGAGCAGGGGGAGGAGGGGGGAGGGGAGTGAGCAAGACGAGGAGGCAATTCTCCCAAGAGATTGTCTTGTGAGAATCTCAGAAATGGAAAACCCACTCCCCATCCCCCACAGGCTCCAGGAGTCCCGAGAATCAGATCTGATGGAACCACCGGCCCCAGACGTGTCTGTCTGTCCACGGGCACTTCTCAAATGCAGGGCTGGTGTCTGCAGGGGAAGGGAGGAGGCAGCCTGAACGTAGCAGCTCTGAAAACCCGAGCTGCCCCCGAACCTCTCTAAGGCCTCAGCTTTCTCGTCTGGGAAGTGAGGCGTCGCCCCACCTGGCCGATTGTTGGGAGATTTATGCAGATACTGTTGGGATTTCGCAGTCTCCCTACAACCCTGCGTGTCTCGTTCCTTCCAAAGCCCCTGCAGAGGGCATGGAGCGGGCACACCACACACTCGGAGAGAATGAACGCGTGATCGACGGGTGTTAAGCACTGGCCTGGCACGTTGCTTGGCGCCTAGCAGGTACTTAGTAAGGAGGCCTGCTGTGTGACTTGGAGCAAGTCAGCTTCCTTCTCTGAGCCTCAGTGTGTTCATCTGTAAAATGGGGTCGTTCATCTGAATCCGGTGCTCTGATCTGCAAATCACCGGTGGATGTGAAGGGACTAGTTTAGGGTCTGTTCTTCCTGCAAAGAAATTGCTGCCAGGGGGCAGTGCCTGGGGGGACGCTCGGGGCGCTGTGTCAAGCCAAGCCGCCATGTCCGCCCAGGAGGTCATGCCTGATATTTCAGGGTGAGTGCCTGCGATGTGGCCCTCACGGCACTGGGCCACCGCAGTGTGGATGTGAATGACGGGGTCTTGGGCCCAGAACATTCCTCCCTGTGGAAGGGGCTGGCTGGCTTCCAGATGCATCTGCCAGATCTTTGGGTTTCTTAAGAGAAGCCACAAATCCAAGTTACTCACTGAGACTTTTCCTGAATTTAAAACATTGGCAAACTAGTCCTGTTTTGGTGACTGCGGCAGTATCTGGGAGGCCAGGAGAGATGCTTGGGGGGAGGGTCATTTGGGCCCCAGGGAGGAGATGAGCAGGTTAATAAAGGGCTGGGGCAGCAAGCCTGGGGGGAGTCTGTGTGTGTGTGAGCGTATGTGTTTGTGACTGTGATTGTGTATATGAGTGTGTGTGACTGCATGTGTGTATATGACTGTGGGCGACTGTGTGAGGGTGCATGTGTGGGTGACTGTGTGTATGAGTGTGGGTGACTGTGGGTGACTGTGGGTGACTATGTGGGGGTGCATGTGTGTGTGACTGTGTGTGTGTGTATGAGTGTGGGTGACTGTGTGAGGGTGCATGTGTGGGTGACTGTGTGTATGAGTGTGGGTGACTGTGTGAGGGTGCATGTGTGTGTGACCATGTGTGTGTATGAGTGTGGGTGACTGTGGGAGGGTGCATGTGTGGGTGACTGTGTGTATGAGTGTGGATGACTGTGTGAGGGTGCATGTGTGTGTGACCGTGTGTGTGTATGAGTGTGGGTGACTGTGAGTGTGTGTATGAATGTGGGTGACTGTGGGTGACTGTGTGAGGGTGCACGTGTGAGTATGTGCACAGGGACACAGGAGGTGGTGGCCGGGCAGAGTCACAGGCTGTTTAACAAATGTTTACCAAGCGCCTGCTCTGTGCCAGGCGCTGGGTGAGGAGCTGCGATGAGTAAGCCCGTCCTTGCCCAGAGGTACCGACAGCCGCAGGGAGTGCAAACAGGCAACAGGACTAAAAGGGGAGACTGAAATAAATAACCCCTCAAAAATACAACCACTTGACGCCCCCCCACCAGGAGAGCAGGTGAAGTGAGTTTCCCCTGAATTGGGTGGAGGGCAGGGGTGGGGGGAATCCAGGAACTGTCCCCAGAGGCCCCAGGGCAGGCACACCCAAACTCAGGAGGGTGACCTCCCTCTGACCTGCCCAGCAGCACACTGATCTCACAGAGCAGATAAGAGGCCACCAGCTGCTCAGGGCAGGATCCGAACAGCTCCGCCGCACCCAGGGAGAGGCCACCTGCACAGCTCCTGAGCTGGTGACAGTTGGGAGTAAGGGTGGCTGACACCCAACGGCGAGTGCACCCAGGACAGGGGGGAAAGGCCGGCCGGGGTGTGCCCAGCCTGCAGGGCCCTGGAGACGCGAGGTGGAGAACAACACTGGGCAGAGACCTCTCCGGGGAGCCGAGGACCCTCTGCCCTCCCAGCTGCCCACACGCCCCACGTGCCCTCCTGGGGCCACAGCAGGAGCCCTGGGCTCTGGTCCTGTTGTCCCCTCTTCCCCGGGCCAGTGGCCTTGGACGAGCCCCCCAGAAATGTGGGTTTGCTGTCTCTTCGAAGGCTGCGGTGCAGACCCAGTGCAGTAATGGACAGGAAAGCACCTCGTAAACTGAAAGGGACAAAGGTCGAGTGTGGAGCGGGAAGGCCTGTGGCCGCGGTCGGAGGGGCTGGCCTCGCTGTCCTGCACACACGGTCAGCCTCACTGCGGTGCCTCTCTGAGCGGAAGAGGAGGGTGGGGGCGGGCAGAGGGGCTGTGCCCTGGGTCCCCGGCCCACCCTCCACTCTCGGCAACTAGGGTGACTTCTGGAGGGGTCCCCAAGATAGCATGGGTGCAGACTGAGTTCAGTGCTAGTGCAGGGGTTTTTCACGAGACAAGGTTCTGTTCGGCCCTGTTGCCGAGGGGTGCCCCGGGACGTGGCCTGGCTGCAGGGGAGCAGGTGTGTCTGGGGCGAAGCCTGTGCCCTCACCATCCCCTGTGCAGCTGGCTGTGCCCATCGGGGGACAGGCCTTCCGGCGGCTGCAGGGGGCTCTTGGGTCTTCCAAACCCACTGCTCTCCCCACCAGCCTCCCCACGGTCCTGCATGTCCCTCTTTCTGCAAAGCAAGCTCCCTGCACACTCACACACACGCATGTACACACACACAGTTACATACACAGACACATGCTCACACACATTTACACACACACAGTCACCATCATGCACACACACCCTCTCACACACACACTGACTCACACATTTACACACACGTGCACACACACATGCACACACACACACTCACACACTGAGACACCCACATACACACTCACACACAGTCTCACACACAATCACACATGCACACGCACATACATGCACACATACACACTCACACGCACAGTCTCACACACATACACACTCACACACACTCAATCACACACATACTCACCCACACTCACTCCATCACACACACATGCACACACGTCTCCTAAGAGCCCTTCCTTCCCCACATCCCTTTGGTGAATCATCTGGCATTTCTAAGACAACGAAGCAGCATCTCAGAGTCCAAACAGGCTCACCAGGGCTCAGGGGAACCTGACACTCGGACTCCAGGAACTTGCCTCTGGGTGCCACTCTCCACAAGGAGCTGGTGCAGGGAGTCCTGCAGCTGGAGGCCGCTCCCAGCAGAGCGTCAGGGACCTGCTGGGCAGTAGGTCAGAGGGCTGGGCCCTGGCCGGAGGTGGCAGGAGGCTCAGACCACCTGGCGTGGCCAGGCCCCAGGCGCAGGGCTCACCTGCATGTCTCTGAGGGACTGAGTGGGGCCCGGAACCCGCAGCACCCGCTTTCCCAGGGGCTGTCCCCTCCACCCCTTCTCCTCAGGCCTCATCCCCACACTGCTAGTCTTTCCCTCCACCGGACCCTCACGCGATTCCTCGCCAGACGACAAAGCCGGGTCACATCACAGACACTGCGCGCAGCCGGCTCGGCTGGAATGCAGACGCGCCTCTTGCACAAGGCCGGGCATGCACTTTCAGGCCTACACGTCGTCTACCCTGCCGCACCGCAGCCCGAAGGGGCCGGCAGAACTCACGGGGCCCTGGCATGAAACCCTGTGCCTCTTCCTTTCCTCCCAGCCCCTGGCCAGCAGGTTCCTAACCCAGTCCTCCTGCGCTAGGACCCCCACCCGACGAGATGCCGGCCTCTGCCTTCGCCTCTGACCCACAGACCTGCACCCCACCCCCCTTTTCCAGACCCACAGACCACATGTCAGTGCACGGGGAGCTAAGACAAAGGTTACAAAAAGCCCAGAAGGCACTTTATTGGAGGTCTCTGCCTCCGCTCAGGAGAAAGGAGCCAGAGTCCCATCCTGAGCCACCGGCCCCCGCCCCCCGCGGGCCCAGCGCAAGGCTGAGAACAGTCAGGGGGTTGTCTTAGAAAAAATAGATCTCTATGTACATCTGACGTGCCTGCAGCACATAAATTAAGGAGTGCTCTGACCCCTGCCCGCAGAGCCTGCGCACTGGGAGGCGGGGAGCCCTCCGGAGAGAAGGTGCAGGGCCCGTCCCTGGCTCAGGGTGCCCTGGCCTCCGGCCCCTCCAGGCACCTACAGGAGGTAACGTCCGCAGCCGGCGTCTGGACCGCGCCTCAGGAGGCACCAGAGAAGCCACCCTTGCAGCACCGTCCACGAGCACGTCAAACCTGGCTCGTCATTGCACGAGGTGGCGGCCGAGGAGACCCCGAGCTCCTGTTCTCTCCACAGCACAGCAGCCCCCCGATGGGGGCCACCGGCCTCGAGTCCACGTGTCTGCCTCGGGTCCACGCGACCCTCAGTTCCGACCCCCGACCACCTCCTCCTCCTTCCAGCCGCTGGAGTTCTTGCCGAACTTGTAGACGAGACGCCGACCGTCCACCCGCTCCAGGATCTCCCGCTTGTAGTAGTACCTGAGTGGACACGGGGGTCAGACGGGCCCAGGCCGGGGCACTCCCACGCCGAGCCCCCCTGGCCCTGCTGTCCATCTGCAGTGACCTGACCCACTGGGTTCCAGCCCCACCTGAGCCTGACATACTTTCCCGCCAGAACTGCGTCCCGGGGACCGTCTGCTCTTACTTCTTTGTGTCTCTGTGGCACCCGGGAGCTTGTCATGAAAACACATGATTTCAGGGCTGGAAGGGCCCTTAGTGACGGTCTGTTGACAGTTTCCACAGGGGTCCGGTGGGGCATGCTCAGAGGGGTCTGGGACCCCGGGGCACCTTTCCTGGGGTAGGTCTGGCCACACAGGTGTCGGTAGACAGTCCCTGCCTCCTCCAGGCTGCCGGGTCCCCGCCTCATGCTGTCCCAGAAGCCAGGCCTTGCGATGTCCCCGTCCCAGAAATCAGCCCCTGCAATGCCCCCGTCCCAGAAGCCCCTGCAATATCCCTGTCCCAGAAGCCCCTGCAATGCCCTGTCCCAGAAGCCCCTGCGATGACCCGTCCCAGAAATCAGCCCCTGTGATGCCCCCGTCCCAGAAGCCAGCGCCTGCAATGCCCCGTCCCAGAAGCCCCTGCGAGGCCCCGTCCCGCGGCCGCCCACCTCATGGCCCTGCTCAGCTTCTCGTAGGTCATACTGCTGTTCTTCTTCTTCTGCCCCCACAGCTGGGCCACGGCCTCGGAGCGCAGGAACTTGAACACGCCCTCCTGCCGGTTCTCCCACTTGAGCAGGCCCTCGTTCAGCTCCGGGTGGATGAGGATGTCCCGGATGAACTCCCACAGGTGGGTGCCTCTGGGGGCTGCGGGGCAACCGCCAGTCAGCGGCGTCCAGGGACCCTCCCGCCCGCCGGCCTCTGCCCCAGCACGAGCCCCAGCACAGAGCCAGGGGCGCCCACGTCACGGACGCTCCACCGCTCAGACGTGGGAACAGGAGCGACCAGCCGGCCACCGGTCGGCGGGGCCACACTCGAGAGCAAACACACCAGTAGCTGGGGGCAGACAGAGCCCCACAGCTGGCCCCACCTGGGGGACCCGGACAGCCCCCGCAATAAGAACCCCCCCACAGGAAGAAACAGCCCGCCCGTGTGGGGGCTGTGTGGGGAAGCCCAGGGCCATCTCCCGGCTCACGAGAACCATGGCACAGATGCCTGGGAGCCCAGCGGCCGAGGCATCGCCCCTCGTGGTGGCTCTGCGGACCCTCCCCAGGTGCCCCGTAGGTGGGGCGGGACCCGTGCAGACAGAACAGGAGTGGCTGGGCCTTCCTCCAGCAGCCTCAGTTTCCCGTCCTCTCCAGGACCACCAGGCAGGCTCTGCCATTTCGTGGTGAGCCCTGCCCCCCAGCCCTGCCCCACCCCCGCACCTCCTGGCTTCAGCACAGGGACCCCGGTACCCACCGTGTTTGTTCCTCCTGCCCTCCAGGCTGTCCCGGGACTCTCTGCTCAGCTTCCGGGGTCGGCCCCGCTTCCGCTTGCCGTGCTTAGGATCCCCCTTCTTGTGGTCCGAGGAGTCGTCTGTGGGGCAGGTGGAAGGTCAGGAGAGCGAGGGGTGTGGGCCTGGAGGCAGCCCCCAGTGGGGACGCTGTCCACTCACCCCTGGAGAAGAGCTTGCTGTCAGTGGGGTCGAGGTCCACATCGCTTCCCCCGCAGTCAGAGGAGTGGGAGCACTGAGAAGCGCCGGTGCCTGGGGGGCGGGTCTGAGTGAGCCCTTGGCACCGCACCCTGGGCGGACACGCTGTGGCCAGCTCTGTTCCTCCCAGAGAGCTGGGAGCCCAGGGCTCAGGCAGTCAGGGTACGGGAGACCTCACCTGGGGTGGAGATGGTGGAGGAGACGGTGGAGACGTCCGAGCTGCCGGGGGAAGGGGCCCCCGCACCGTAGCTGCCCGGGTTGTAGGGGCTGGGCTGACGGCCGTCCTCCTGCATCTCCGGACCGAAGGGGCTGCCCTGGTCTGGGGGAGGTGAGTGTCAGGCAGGGCTCAGAGGCCAGGCGGAGCCGCCAGGAAAGGCCACCCAGACGTGGGGTGGATGACCTGCGGACTCTCTAGCTGGGGAACAGGTGTGGGGAGGGGCAGAGAGAATGTGGGTGCTCACCAAAGGGGCCTGGGTCCCCCAGCGTCTCCTGGAAAGACACGCTGTCCTGCTCCAGCAGGTCGATGATCCAGCCGAGCTCATCGGGAAAGCTGGAGGCTGGGACGGAGGGCGGCAGGTCAGCTCAGGCTGCCCGCTCCCCTTGCCCTCGGGGGCTCCTGCTGGCTGGGCCTCCCCTGGCCTGGGGCTCTGGTCCTTCCCACAGCCCAGCTGACCCCGGACCAGCCTGCCTCGCTGAGAGGAGACCCCGACACCGGGCGGCACTCACTGAGATCCCACAGCTGGGAGTAGAGCTGGTCGCCCAGGGGCCCGAAGACCAGCCGCAGCTCCTCGGGGGCACAGCTGCAGAGCGTGGCCCCGTCCATGTCACACCGCGAGAAGTCGATGGTGCTGGCATCGAACTTGTTCTTCTCCACCTGGTAGCTAATCCAGTCCAGCACCTGGGCCTTGGACCAGAACTGGGGCTGCTCCTTGGACCAGCTGGCCTTCTCTGGGGGGGGGGGTGGCACAGTGGGGAGGTCAGCCAGCCACTGCAGGTTCACAGCTCGCACCCCAGCACCTCAGCGTCCAACCAGTCCCCCACAGGCCTGGAGTCTGCTCAGTGCCCTCCCTTTGTCTGACCCCCTCACTGCCTAACCTCTTGGATGGACCCCCCTCCCCACGAGACCCACCTGGGCCCTCCAGCGGCATCTGGGGGGTGCTCAGGGACAGCACGAGGTCGTCGGCCCCAAAGGAGGCGGCAGGGGGCACGGAGCCTAGGGTGGGGTCCTCGGGGCTGTACATGGTGCTGAAGTAGTTGCTGAAAATGTTGCTAATCTCACAGGTTGCAGCCATGAGGCTACCTGGGGGGACAGGAGGCAGGTGAAGGGCGGGGCCTCCGCTGGCTCCTGCGGCCTGGGCAGGCATGGCCCAGGGGTGCGAAGGTCCCCATCTCTCCAGACACCTGTCTATAAGACCAGCTCCATGATCTCAGAACCAGGTGGGTACCTGGCCTCCTGCTGGGCTCCCTCCTCAGTCACCTGGGCCCTTGAGTGGGGCTGACAAAGTCACGGCCACCTGTCCCTCCAAGGGACAGTCCCTCAGCTCTCGGACCCTCAGGACACCCCATCACTCCATACTCCTGCTGGAGACTCCGGAACTGCAACCCCGTTCCCCGCCCAGGCCGCGGAGCAGGGCAGGTGGACCTACCAACGCGCCGCTGCAGGCAGGCAGGACTGCGGGACAGCAGGAGCCAGAAATGCAGGAGACGAAAACCAGGCCAGGTACTGCCACCAGGCCGGCCGCCCGCCCTAAATAGACCTGGGAGCTCCTCCCCCAGGGCTCCATAGCTGTGGAGCCTGAGCTGGTGGCTCATTGGACAGAGGGGATTTCCTGGCCTTTAGACTGGGCTCCTGGCCCCAGGTGATTTGCATATTTTGTGCCACTTGGCCCAGGTCCTACCTGGGATGCTGGGAAATCAGGCCCAGCTGGTTTAATGATTGTCAGACGTCGTCCCGCACCCTCGGGGTTGGGCACAGGGCACTGGCCTGGGCGGGTGGCGGGAGGGTCGCTGGGGTGGGGGGAGGCTCTGTACTTTTCGCCACCCTCAGGATCAGAAAATTCCTCAAGGGGGTGGGGGACAGGTCAGGGAGGGGCCGGTGAGGGGGAGGGAACTGGGCCCCAGAGGCGGCTAGCCCCGAGAATCTGGAGCTCTGAAGACAAGGGGCCTGGTGGGGAGAGAAGGTGCCTAGGATTCAGGCTGGAAGGCTCTCCAGGCACAATCCACGGGGGACTGGGCGGGGGCAGGCTGCCTAGCCCCTGCCCCCCCGCCCCCCGCCAGGGCCTGCTGGCTGACCCCAGTTTCGAGGGCAAGGTCTTGGTTTCTGTGCCTGCCAGGGCCCTAGCCAGGCATCGGGGTTGCGGCGGCTGCTTCTGGACAGACCAGGCTCCTCGTGGCTCATCCCAGCACCCCCACCAGGGCTGCAGGGCAGGAGTCTCCCTTTGGTCTATCTGGTCTACCATCAGCGCACCGCCACTCACCAGTACATCTGCTGCCCCCTAGTGGTCAAGGCCCGGCACCTGCGTCCTGCCCTTCAAACAGGAAAAGGGATGCTTAGTGTTTGTTTACATTCGACAGGGTCCCCGTGATCCGCACAAAGCGGGAACGTCATCTCCACGTTGTCGATGAGAAACTGCGGCTCGGAGCCGGGCCACGCGGGCTAGTGAGGTGGGCGGCCGGGATATAAAGCCGCTGATGGGAGGTGCCCCCGCCCTGTTGTCTCTGCAGGGTCTGCCGCTCAGCTCTGGGCATCGCGCCTTCCTCAGGCCTGGCTCCTCTCCAGGGACGCAGCCCCAAACACAGGGCCTGTGTCCTGCAGACCCCACTGAGACCCCGGCAGGCTCTGGGGGTAGAGTGGAGGGGGGAGGCGTGTTTTCTGGTTTCTCCCCAACTTGTGATTGTGCACCTCAGTGTCCCCACCTCTAACAGTGGGCGGTTTGGACTTAGCCCCGAGGTCTCTTCATGCGTCTGTGACATGGGCTCCGATATCCCTCGCCCCACCTCTGTCGGGGCCCAGCCCTGGGTGGTGCACGGCCAACTGCAGCCTCCCAGGTGAAGCGGTTACTCAAAGGGAAGGTGGGCCCCTCCCGAGCTGCCCTCCTTCCCTGGGCAGCCCGAGGACTCCCAGTCCAGCCCAGGCCCCTGCTTCTCACTGGCCAGTGTGTGAAGCTGTGGGTGCCCAGGGCAGGGGTGCAGTTCCAGGTCCCTCCAGGGGCCAGGGGAGCTGGGCTCTGGATTTTCCCAGCCCCTGGGGGCACCTCCCCCTTGTCGCCAGAGGCAGGCACACCCTCCACCCCCGTCAGTCACAGTGGAATGTGGGAGAACCGGCTTCCAGCCCAGGACAGGAGAGGACACCTGGTGGAGGCGGCTCGGGTGGGACCAGGAGGGAAAGGCATAGGGTATTGGCCCCCTTGCCTTCAAGGGGCTTCCCAGGAGAAATGGGGCTGAGCAGAGGGAACCTACGGGCTGCCCCCACCCTCCAGGTGTCTGTTACCACCTTCAACAGCCTGTGATGTGTGATGTGCAGACTCAGGCTGGAGGTCAGTGCCTTGAGGGGTGGGTGGGTGGGGAGAAGCTTCCAGGACGAGGTCAGCGGGGCTGCGGGGCAGGGGCAGGACCTCCTGACAGTCCACACGTTCTCGCACAGGGCACAGGGCTGTCCCCAGGCGCAGCCGGAGGACTCGGGGTGGCCAGGGAATCAGGGGACAAGCGGTGAGCTGTGCAGAGTCCGTGGAGCCAGAGCAGCTGCCGGAGGATGAGCTCCCACCGTGACCTGATGACGGGCTCCTGGTGCTGCAGGTTTTCGTACAAACAGGGACTGAGCCACCGTGTCAGGGCTGATAAGCAGGACAGCGAGTTGGGGCTCAGGGCAGCGTCTCGGACGGAGGCGCTGACCACTCATCAGCCTGTTGCGTGCTCACACCACACGCTTGTTTTCCCTGAGTGAGGACACGTCTATGTCCTGCTGAGCTGTGCCCGTCCCCAAGCCCCGTGCAGGACCGGAGAGGCTGTGCTGACAGCCCGACCAAGGACAGAGCCACAGCCAGGGCCGGGGGCTCCCTCCAAGGCAGAACGGCACCTTACACTTACGTGTGTCTGCGCAGCCTCCCCTCACTGAACCCCACTCTAACTGCTCAACCCCCACGCTGAGGCCAGGAAGTCAGAACTCGGCGCCCGCTCTGAGCAGACTGAGTTACCAGACCATGAGGTCATCAGGCTCAGAGGCAGGTGCAGCGGCGAGGCCCTCGGCTGCGGAGGCTCCAGAGACACGTCACAGGCACATCTCTCAGCCCCGGGCCGGGGGGACGACGTGGGCTCGGGGTTCTGCTCAGGGTGCTGCCATCTGTGCCGTTCCAACCTGCGGCAACCTATCGCCGCCGTGTTTCCCTGCACCTGTGGGACCCACGCTCCTGCAGCTGGGAGCTCGCTACAAACGAGGCCCTGTCGCCTCGGGGTCTCCCCCAGTGATGGTCTCGGGACACTCACACCGGGGACACTTGGGAGAAGTTTCAATCAACCCACAGCTCTCATTTCCGCACAGCTCACTTAAAAAGGTTTATTAAAATAGAGACTGAGCCTTATGAGAGAATCACCCGAATGCAGCTGTTTGCACAGACTTCAGAGTCAGCCAGATGGGAAAGGGTTCTCCGCTGCCCCTGCCCTGAGGGCCGGGTGGGGCCTTGGTCTCGAGGGTCCAGAGCAGTCCCCACGAGTCACACACACACCAAGCCCGGAGAGCAGACCATCCAAGGGACGCCGACTTCGGGGGTGGAGCGGACACCAGGGGTCGGGGCCGATCGCTCTGAAAGCCTGCAGTGTGGAGCAGCAGCAGCCACGCACAGCGCGAGCGTCTAGCTGCCCGTGGGCGCCAGGATCTGCTGGACGTAGTGGACCACGTTGCTGTGGAGCTGAGAGGAGGTCGCCGCGAAGGTCTCCTTGGCGAGGGTCTGGGCCGCCGCGCTGCCGCCCATCATGGCGTGGTACAGCGGGAGGGTGTACTTCTGCTTCCCCTGCGGGAACACACACGAGCCGATGCACCTGCCCCAGGGTCTGTCCAGCCCCTGACCCGCGGGCAGGACCCAGAGGGCCGGGGTGAGGAGTTTCCCGACGTGAGCTCTCACTCTGGCATCGTCTCAGGCCAGAGGCGCACACACAGAGATGTCAGCGTTCACCCCGATCCAGGGCAGAGCAGGGACACCCACACTCAGCCCAGCAGGTGGCTCCACACCTCGGAGCTGGCCACACAAGGCAGAGGCTCAGCGCAAAGCTGAGGAACACAGGTCAGACTGCTGCCCGCGGGGGGACACCTGGGACGCAGGCCCTGGCTGGACTGGCTCAGTGGTTAGAGCGTCAGCCTGCAGACTGAAGAGTCTCAGGTTCGATTCCCGGTCAAGGGCAGGTGCCTGAGTTGCAGGTTTAATCCCCGGCCCCAGTTGGGGCGCATGTGACAGGCAACCCATATTTCAGTGGAATAATATCTTCCGATGAGGATTAATTAAAAAAAAAAGAAAACCTAGCCCTGGCCAGTTTGGCTCAACGGTTAAAGCGTCGACCTGCGGTCCGGAGAGACCCGGGTTCGGTTCCCTCTAAGGGCACGTAATTCGGTTGCAGTTTGTCCCCGGCCCTGGTTGGTCGTGTGGGTGGCAGCCACTCGATGTGTCCCTTCACATCGATGTTTCTCTCTCTCTCTCTCCTTTCCTCCCTCTCCCTCCCAGTCTATCTGAACAAAAAATGGAAAAATGTCCTCGGGTGAGGATAAAAAAAAAAAAGAAAACCTAGAATTCAAATGCACACCAATTTGAGTTCCCAAGTCCCCAAAGCACAGAGGCTCGGCAGGGCCGCAGTGGGCTGGGGACGTCCAGCCAAGGCTGGGTTGCACCGCACACCTGACCGGACCTAAGCCCGGCTCTGCCTCCAGCCCCTCCACCCGCCCGGGAGTTCAGCTCAGTGACCTAGGAGCCCTGGCCCAGCTCCAGCAGGGCAGCTCCCCGGGGTGACCGGAGCTGCAGCAGGTGTCTGGACCTGCCCGAACCACGGGCAGTGGGGGCCGCAGGCTCACAGTCCGTCACCCTCTTGTCCTCTATCGCCCCTTCTCAGGTTGGGGTGACCAGTGACTGGCTCTCCCCCAAGGCACCGCGGCCACGCTCAGCACAGGGCTGTGGGCAGACCCTCCCTGTCCTTCCCCTTCCTCCCCCAGAGATGGGCGCCGAGGCCGAGGCTACCGCAGGCCCACTGAGCGCGCCGAGGGCTGCGTGGGCCTGGGGATGTGGGGGACACCCACCTGGCTCTGCAGGAAGTCCTTCACTTTCCAGAAGTCCTCCTGGTGGTCATTCCTGAGCACGATCTGGCCCCAGCGCAGCCGCAGCTCTGCGTTGCGGGCACATGAAATCTTTGGGTACCTCTCCCCCAGTTTCTTCACGTTCCCTGGAGAAAGAAACAGGAATTTTCCAAATGACTTATTTTTCAGTGACGGTGTCATCATATGTCCGGTGACCCGACAGGGGTGGGCAGAGCCGTGGTCTCCTCCCTGGGATGTGTCAGCCCAGCCCCAGGACTGGCTTAGGGGGGGCAGTGCCGTCAGAGCACCTGCCTCTCACCCCAAAGCAACAACGTCCGATTCGCTCAGCTGCTCAGCCCCGGGGCTCTCCCAGCAAACACCCCGCGGCAGCATCCCAGACTCGCCGCAGTCACCCCGTCTTCCTTCCCAGGTGAAAGCACCCCGACACACCCTGCCCCACGTCCACTCCAGCGTAAACTTTTCCGCTCAGCACCCTGGGTGCCCATGGCCCTGGCTGAGTAGCGACCAGGCTGGAGCGGCTGCTGGGCCGTCAGCCCTGTACCTCCCGCGGCCGCCTGTCCACGCCTGCAGTCCCCTGTCCACGCCTGCAGCCCCCTCGCCGTCACTGGGCCCAGGATCACGGCACCCGCGCCACAGAGCAGCCACGGGGGCCGGGGGCCCAGCAGAGGAAGGAACTCAGAGCGACCCACCCACAGGACGAGGGCAGGACGAATGTGGGTTCATTGTCTGTCCCCACGTCACCCCACGTGCACCCACATCCCCCGCAGAGCGCTGTGACCCCGGCCTTCGCCCAGGGGCAGGTGTCCCAACTTCCTTCTCCGCGGCTCCCCTCGCCCGCCACAGGGTGCTCCGGGAGCCCGGGCGGCACGCTGAGGCACCGGCCTTTCCGTACCGGGAGGCAGAGGGGACTTCTGGAGGATCTTGTCCAGGAAGTGGACCAGCTGGTAGGTTTTCCAGGTGGAGATGTCCACAGCCTCGATGGCCTTCAGGTCCAGCTCCTCGGCCGCCCACAGCTGGGCCAGCTCGTCAGCAGGCCTCATGAGTGAGTCCCCAGGGGACAGATCGGGCAGGTACGGTGGCCAGCCCGGGGTATTCAGCCAGCGATCAAACTCAAAGCCTGGAGAGAGGATGCTGTCAGAGCGTCACCCCCTCCTGGCCCCTGAGCCCCGCAACTCTCAGGGGCCCCGCCCAGCTGCCCCTGTACCCAGACGCTCTCTCCACTGCTTCCCATCCCTCCCCCACACGGCTCCAAGCCGACTGGTGGTCAGACAGCAGCGCCCTGTGGCTCCCAGTGGGCCCCGCTGTCCGAGCCAAGGGGACGGTGCGTCCACGCTTCTCCCTGTGACCACGGCCCGTGCGGGCTCTGCGCCCCGGCTCCCGCGGCCCCATCCCAGCTGCACATCCCTGCCCCTCTGGTTGAGGTACAATGGCAGAGGGGCCCTGCCTGCCGGCAGCAGTGAGGACTAAACACGGAGCTGGTGGCCAGGCTGGGCGATCACCCAGTAATTATTAACTCTCATTAGTCAGAAGCTCGTGACCTTGAAGTACAGGCCTTTGAGCAAGGTGAGTGCACAGGCCTGAGCCATGGGCAGAAGGGGGCGCTGCCGCCACCAAACCACGGTGGGGTGACCCAGGGATCACCTTGCGAGGCGGGCTGTGCCCAGGGGCCTCTCATCCATGGGACAGGCCCCCCGCCAGGCAGCACTGGGCCTTCCTTCGCTCAGACCCACACGAGGCAACTCTGCTCCGGCCGCTGCCCCTGTGGGCTGCAGGGCGTCAGCCGGAGTCCAGGTTCAAGGAAACGAGAGAGGAAGGAGACGCCTTCTTGGGAAGGAGCCTGGGACCTGAGCCTGCTCCCGAGAGCCACCTGCTGGATGACCGGGGCGCAGCGTCCTTGGGCAGCCACCTCGCTCACCTGGAATGGAGTCCACTCGCTTCTGCTTCAGCTCCGGGAAGTACTCCAGGTAGAACTCCAGAAAGTCGTCGGCCAAGATGCTTTGGAATTTAAACTCATTGACGTAGGCCTGTGAAGAGGGAGGTCTTCTCAGCTGCCCCTCCGGCCTCCTCCACCCCGGACCCGCTCCTGCCCTGTGCTCTGGCATGCCGGCCCCACCTGCCCACCCTTCTCCCCCTTGCGAGGGGACGGTACCTTGAGAAACGTGTCAAACTTCTCCTGATCACCCACCAAGTGGGCCAGATAGGAGACAAAGCAGAAGCCTTTCTCGTAGGGGGTCTCATTGTAGGTGTCGTCTGGGTCAACCCCTGGAAGAGGACAGCAGACCAGGTCTGAGCATCGCAACCTGTCGCCCTCATGACTGCTCCGAGCTCGACTCACTGACTGAAAGGGGTCAGCAGGCAGGGCTCCAGACCCACCCTGCCTCCCTCGAGGCACCTCAACGGGGACCTTCAAGAGCCATTAACTGTGGACCTAATTAGGGAGGCCAAAGAAACCACCTTCCAGTCTCCTTACTCCTGGGACCTCACCTGGGCACAGGACTCAGACCCTCCAGTCCCACTGGTCCCCACCCGCACTCGCTCCCCTCCCAGGACACGGCTGTCCTAGGATGACCCTAGACTAGAAGGAGCAAACCGGAGCAGAAGTTCCTTCCCAGCCCAGGACACCAGGACTTCGACCCTCGACTCCACCACGAGGGTTCGGGTCAGTCACACGTGGGCCTGGACGAGTCCCTGGGCCGCTCTGGTGCTGTCTCACCCTCAGGGGGTGAGGGTGACAGTCTAGGAGACCCGGGGGACATGGCACCCACCAGAGTGGAGGTACAGTCACCAAGGATGCACAGACCCAGAGGGACCTGCGCTCGGGCTGCACAGCTCGGCCCCGCCCCCAGGGGAGTGTCCCGGGAGCCCAGGGACCAAGGCCAATGGGGGGGCACAGAGGAGCCTCCTGGACCTGGCTCGATCTTCACACGCAGCTTGTTGAGCGGGTTTTCCTCGCCGGTGACATCCATGTGCTGGCGGAGCAGCGCCCGTCCGGTGGCAGCTTCCAAGCAGGTGTAGGCAGGCCCTGGAGAAGGAAACCAGGGGCCCCAAGGAAGAGGGGTCAGCACGCCCGACCGTCGGGCGTCCTAACAGGAGGCTGCGTTGCCCCCTGCTGGCCACAAGAAGAACGACAGCAGACGCCTGAGCTCAATGCCTCCATCTCTGGGGACTGTGGGACAGAACCGCACCTGCCAGCGGTTCTGCACCTGGTTCTGTGACCCTAACTGCTGCTCTGGGCCTCAGGGGCCTGGTCAGCTGGGCTGGGGGATCAGTGCGTCCTGACAGGTACCTTTCCCCATCAACGCATTTTTAGTTTGAGAGACGGTAATTTGATCTTCTATGAAAACGAGTATTTTCACCTGACTGTTCCCAGCAGACAAGAGAAACTATCACCCAAAATTTTTCTAAGGGTGTCTACGTCTCCTTCTAGCTCCAAAAGTGACTGCAGGAAGGGGGCAGGGGGAGGGGACCAGGCGTTGGCTCTGCACAAGTTCCTACCCCTCCCAGCCTCAGCCTCTCATCTGCGCCGTGTCTGCAGGAGTCTTGGTGCTGGGGGAGAATTACGGGCTCTCGCTCTATAATCCGGGTCGAGTGTCAGTACAAACTTCCTGGGATGCACGGACAAAAGTGCAAAAACCCTTTCAAATGCTCAGATCCAGAAATTATGTTTCTAGGACTCGGTGGAAATCATCTGGGAGGGCCTGACATTCCAGACGAGAACGGCTGTCCCACGGGAACTGAAACAACGTATCTAATGATGAACCAGGAAGCATCCCTACTGCGCAGCTGAGAAAGTGCCGGACCCCAGGAAAAGCTTTGCTGAGCGAATTAAATGGGGGCGGCTGTTCCATCTCCTGTGGGCTGGTGCTTCACACCCAGAAAACTAAGAAAGGTCACACTGACCGTCTCCGAACAGTGAGACTGTGGGTCAGTATTTCTCGTGCTTTTCCACACATGCCAAAAATAGGTTTTGATCAAAGAAATAAGAAAACCATAAATGTTGTCTTTAAAGCACCTGGCCCACGGGGCTTTCTGCCACGAGACTGTTGAGAAAGTATTTGAAGCGCACACCGGGGCTCAGGTCAAGGGCCTGCCTCATCTGCTAAGTGGCTGGGGCATCTTCTAATTCTCTCTGGGTCAGAGTGACCCACACATAAAACGGGGGGCTGCAGAGGTGCTGAAGGACTCTTTCTTTCCCGGCACGAGCGGTGAGAGGCCGAGAGCATGACGACCGTGATGCGCTCAGGAAGCGGACCAGCTTCCCGGTGGACAACGCTGGGCGCTGCTCGCCCGCAGCAGCGGGGTGGCTCCAGCTCAGGCGAGCCCGTCTGTCAGCACCGATCTCTGAGCCCCCCGGCGCGCGGCCTCAGCCGGCTTACCGAACAGGAGAGTGGAGATCCTCCTCTGCGCGTACATGGTGAAACCCTCGTTGAGCCAGAACTCGCTCCAGTTGGCGTTCGTGACCAGGTTCCCAAACCAGCTGTGCGAGACCTCGTGGATGATGACGTCAGCCAAGGAGCCGTCCCCCGCCAGCAGGCAGGGGGTGACGAAGGTCAGGCAGGGGTTCTCCATGCCTCCAAACGGGAAGGACGGCGGCATGAAGAGCACGTCGTACCTGGGACAGTGGAGGTCGTGAGGCCCTGCCCCTCCCTCCCTGGAGATGGGGACGCTGGATGGGCAGCGAAGGGCCCGGGGCCGGTGCTGAGACAACGCCAGGCTCCTCCACCCCAGCTGCCTCGCCGGACGCTTTCCCGGGTCTGCTCTCCAAAACCTCCGTCCCCTGTTCTGCTTCCAAGCAGCACCGAGCTCACCAGCGGCCGCGGAGCCATTTCTCTGGCGTCCACAGTCTGCAGGTGCTAAGGGCCACCTGGTGTGGGGCAGCTTCCAGCAGCTGGGAGAGATGTCAGCAAAGGTCCCAACCTCCGGACTCAGCAGCCACCCGGCCCATGTTTATCACCTTGGTAACTGTCCCTTCCTCAGCACCAGGGAACCAGGTCTGGCTCGTCCCTCCCCCGCTCCCCTCTGCGAGGGGGGCGCTTGCTCCAGGAGACAGAACGGGACTGAGAAGTCAGGGCCATTACAGCCAATAGGAACCGCACCTTCCCCAGATGTAAGGTCCAAAAAGCTTCTCTCCCGTGGCCAGGAACTGTTCTATCACACCGTCATACTCCTCCTTGGCAGCCTCGACCACGCAGGGCTCAGCCCACACCCGGCTCCTGGGCACAGACGGGCAGAGAGGGCGAGCTCGGCTCAGACCGGCCCGGCCGTCCTGGAAGCTCCCTAAGAAAACTGGCCCCAGCCTCACGTTTGAGCCAAACTAACAGAAAAGTGTGTCCAGGGGACGTGAGACAGGTCCGCACCCGTGAGCACAGCCAGGGGGAGGGGGGAAGACCAGGGATCTCGGTGAGTCTCAGCTCCTGGGGGCCATGGGCATGGACTGGAGGGAAGACGAGGTTGTGCCCAGGGACATGGAGGTCTCAGCTCCGGCCTTTTGCTTAAAGGCATGAGGGGTGGGGGCACATCCGGGGCTGAAAAAGATCATCGGCCTCTAGTCCTGAGCCCCAGCCTCCCTATAGGGGACCCAGGTCAGCAGCTGTGACTGGTGGGACTGGCGATCCCATGGGGAGATGGGCCGCCCCCAGCTGATGGCGCCCCAGGGGTCCCCAGCACAGACGTCTCCACCCGCAGCTCCTGCCTGCGGGGCTCAGCCTCCTACCTGGGCCCCACCTCCGCAGAAACCAGGTCTCCGATGGCCAGAGCGATGAGGTAGGAGGGGATGGGCTGGCCCATGTGGAAGAAGAATTTGTTGGGCCCTCTCTTCTCCCAGGTGTCCGCGCTCATCAGGGCCGTGAAGCCCTCTGGGACCTGACAACAGAGAAGGCTGAGGGGCTGCGCCGGGAGAGACCAGGGTGCATCCACGGACACAGCCTGCACAGCGACCACAGCAACCCGACTCCTGGTCCCCACGGGCTTTGGGAGACCACGCCTGCCCTGAGCGGGTGGGATCTGGCAGATGAGACTTCTGGAGGCGGAGGGACTTTTCCTGGGTGACACGATTTACCAACAGGAAGTACACTGCCAGGCCAGGCCAGGCCAGGCCAGGCCAGGGCGGGTCCCACCCCCACCCCTTACCTCGATCAGGGCCGAGTAGGTGCACTTGACCGCGGGCGTGTCGAAGCAGGGGAAGAAGCCGCGGTTCAGGACCGCCTGCCCCTGGGTGTAGACAAAGGGCTTCTCCTTCCCCGCTGTCTGCTCGGGGGCCAACCAGCACACCTAAGGGACAGACACTTCAGAGCTGACCCCGACGCGACCGCAGTCCCCGGGGCGGAGTGGCACAGGACAGCTTCACCCACCACCTCTGTGCCACCCACGTGACTAGGACGGCATCTGCTCCTGTGTGCTCAGCACGCCCTGGCACCCACGCCAAGTGCGGCGTCCACGTCACAGGGCAGACACCGCAACAGGTCCACCCCTCACTGGACCCACAGGTCACCTCGAGAACACCAGACCTGCCCTCTGACCCTGTCACCCTGTCTTCCTCCTACGTCCTTCTCGCTGTGGTAGCATCTCCTCAAAAAACTAAAACCGCAGCAGCTGTGCTTGAACTTGTGACAGGAGACACAGAAAAGCAGAACCTAACTGGGAGGGTCCCTGATCGAGCGTGTTCTCCACGGTCGACGCTCCCTTTCAGAAGGGTGCATTCCCCACCCTAGGCACTGGCCCCGATTCTTCACTGTTTCCCGTGACCCCTGAGCCCAGGGCAAGTTGGAATGGTTCCTACACACCCAATCTTCACCTGCAGCAAAAACAAGTTCCTGCAGAACACAAAGCCCCGCACTGAGGATCTGGAAAATGACTCAATTCTAGGAAGTTTCAGAGAGGAAGTCAGCTCTGTGGTTGGGCGTCCAGCGTGAGCAGGAGCAGAGCCCGGGAGGAGGGAGGCTGCTCTGGCGGGGTGGGAGCCTGCCTGGCGGGCGGGGAGAGGGGTTCTGCACAGAGGCCTTGGGGACCTATTTAAAAAGCGGCGTCAGGACCCCACAGGGGCATACCAGACTTTCCTTTCAGTGTCTGTTTTTTTGTGTGAAATTCTGTGTTCCTCCCAAAGAGTCCAGCAGAGATAGAAAGGGGAGAAATGAGCCCGTCGCCGCAGGGAAACTGGACGACCTTACTTCAGCCAGGGGATCGGGTCAGCACCAAACAGCCACCAATCACACTGCCACTGGTACCCTCAATGTGACTGTGAGGGCAGAAAACAGGCCTTCCTCTTTGCCACGATTTCCCCACAGTTCAAAGCACCTGGTCATTACACCCGGAGACTACTGGCTCCCGGGCCTCACCTCCTCTGCGCAAACAGCGGCAGGACCAGGCCGAGCAGGAGGCCACACTCCTGCCTGCCCCTGTATCAGCTCCAGGCTGGTTAGCAGGAATTCCTCCTCAGAGTCCCCGCCCCCTCCAGACTGGCCCTTCTCGCTAGAACTCTGCATAAGACCTTTTTCTAGCTTGTTTTATAGACATGGGAAACATACTGGTGAAGACACCTCCTTAATGCATCTGCTGTCTCCTGAAGCCCAGACAGCAACTCCTCCAGGCAGACCCCCAGCATGTTCAACTGCAACACGGTCCCCTCCCTGCTGAAACTGCCCTTTACTCCCGACAGGGAAGGAGCCGCTGTCTCTCTCTGCCCTGCCCTTGTCTTAGCCGTCAACGCACAGATCCTTTTCCTGCTACAGGAAAAGAACAGACTTCCTTCTCCCTCTTCTCTGTTGTGAAATCCTGCACAAGCTGCGTCACCGGCCAAACTCTAACAATGATGGAACCCAACGGCACACAATTTTGCCCTAAATCTATAACGGCTCTAAAAAGTAAAGTCTGTTTTTTAAAACCAAAACCCACCACCCCAGTCTAGTCGTGAGAAAAAAAACAGGCAAATCCCTGTCATCCAAGGACATTTTTCCATTGATCTTCAGATAGAGTGGAAGAGAGAGAGGGAGAGAAACATCCATGGGAGAGACACATCGATTGGTTGCCTCCCGCATGATCCTGACCAGGGCCAGGGCCAGACCACAGCCGAGGTACATGCCCTTGACCAGAAATGAACCCGAGACTCTTTGATCTGCAGGCTGACGCTCTAACTGCTGAGGTAAACCGGCTAGGGCTTTTTGGTCTTTTTCTTTCTTTCTTTCTTTATTGATCTTAGAGAGAGAGGGAGAGAGAGAAACATTGATGAGAGAGAACATCGATTGGCTGCCTCCTGCATGCCCCCCACTGGGGATCTGGCCCACAACCTGCGCACGTGCTTTGACCGGGAATCCAACTGGCAACCTCTTGATGCAGGGTCGACACCCAACCACTGAGCCACACTGGCTGGGCCAGGGCTTGCTTGTCTTTTAATGGCACGAAGAAAAGAGAATGAAGGAGCAGGCAGTACACACACTACAGAAAGAATCTGAGGTGCAGCAGAGACGACCTCTGTGACTAAGGCACAGAGCCCCCAGGGGTGGCAGTAAAGGATAAATACAAGTGCCGTCTGCAGAGACCTTCCCAGTGCAGAGCACAGTTCTGCAAAGCGTGAATCTCTGCCATCATCTTGAGTGAACGCGATTTCGTCTTGATATTTAATTTCGAATGTGCCTACAGTAGGCAAATTCAGGGAGGACTTAATTTTTCCTGCTTTTCTGTTTCCAGGAGCCAGAATACAGCCGAGCAATCAAACACATTTCCAAATGTGGTGGTACCCCAGGGGCCCTGGGTTTTCCCTCGCCTCAGAGGTCGGTTTGCACGGCTCTGGAGTTTCACTTTTAAAACAAGTTCAATCATTTCATTCCCCGGGCGGTGTCCTTCGAGCCACTTGTAAGAGCAAAAGGCAATGGCCTGCCAGCTAAACCCACCTGCCACAGGCGAGCGGTCCCCTGTGAAACGCGACCCACCCGTCTCAGAAAAACTCCCCACGGAGTCCTCTCTTCTAGATGTCGGCCACATACCCTTCTGCCCTCTTCTTCCCAATGCCTGCCCCCCACTTTAAGATTTAGGAGTCAATCAGCAGTGAGAAGGCCATGTTAGTATAAAGCCTCGTATACTAGTTCCAGTTCTGAATTTTACTTAAAGTCTCTTGTTACTCAAAACCAGAACTTCAGCCCTGGCCGGTCTGGTTCAGCGGTTAGAGTGCCGGCTCACGGAGCAAGGAGTTGTGGGTTCAATTCCGGTCAAGAACATGCACCTCCGTTGTGGTCCGTCCCCGGCCCTGGTTGGGGTCCAGCGGGAGGCAACCAGTGTGTCTCTCACATCAATGTTTCTCTCTCTCTCCCCCTCCCCCTCTATCTGAAAAATGGAAAAATATGCTCCAGTGAGGATTTAAAAACAGTATCAGAACTTCACAGAAGTAAACATGTGATTATCTCGGTTCAGAGTCATTTCAGCCGGTGGCACTGAAGGGCACACAGAGCAAAGGACTAATTCACCAGCTCGCCATAAAGCAGATCAATTAGCTTTTTATCAGGGACTTGGACCCCAAGGCCCCAGGACACTAAATTCAGCTTATGAAGAGTTCCTACTATGTAGAAAACCTCACAGGGCAAGGACCCTTCCTCTGGCAGAAATGGAAACTAGACACAAGGGGTCCTGGGCGGGAGTGAGGCTGGGGGACAATCTGGACAAGTCACTGCAATTGCCAGAGGCGAGGCGGAAGGGGTGCACAGGACAAAGGTTCCCGCCCGACGGCTGAACCGGCCAGAGGCCAGAGGAGGAAAACCAGGGAGGCCTGCCTGGAGGAAGAGGGGACGCGGGGCGCCGGCCTCGGGGATGGGATCCTCCTCTCCCTCCGCTGGGGCACCTGGCGACACCTGCCACTCACCGCGGGCCCCGCACCGACGCGGTAGGTGAGCAGCACCTGGAAGCGCTCGCCCGCGCGCTGGGGCTGCGGGAAGCTCACGCACAGCGCGCAGCCGTAGCGCGCGAAGGGCCGCGTGTGGAAGCTCACGGGCTCCTCGGGGCCGGGCGGCACCCCCGGGCCGGGCAGCCCCCGCCGCAGCGCCACCGCGGTCACCTCCAGGCTCGGGTGCGAGTCCAGCCGCAGCTCGGCCGCGCCCGCGGGCACCAGGCAGCGCAGGTCCAGGGTCGCCGTGCCGCTCAGCGTGCGGCTCGCGAACTCGGCCCGCAGGTCCAGGTGCAGGTGCAGCACCTCGAAGTCCCGAAAGTTGGACGCCGAGGCCACGTCCACGGCCCGCGCGGAGTGCAGCGTCCGCGGGGCTGCGCCGCCGCCCGGGGCCCCAGCGCTCGCCATGGTGTCCGCCGGCTGCCGGAAAGCCTCGCCCCGCCGGCCACGTGCCCGCCGAGGCCCCGCCCCCGCGAGGCCCCGCCCAGCGCGCTGCGCCGCCGCCGGCCCCGCCCCAGCGAAGCCTCTGCCCGCAGGCCCCGCCCCCGAGCGAAGCCTCTGCCCACAGGCCCCGCCCCAGCAAAGCCTCTGCCCACAGGCCCCGCCCCCGAGCGAAGCCTCTGCCCACAGGCCCCGCCCCCAGCAAAGCCTCTGCCCACAGGCCCCGCCCCCAGCAAAGCCTCTGCCCACAGGCCCCGCCCCCAGCAAAGCCTCTGCCCACAGGCCCCGCCCCCGAGGGAATCTGGGCTGGGCCCCACCCCTGCCCCGGAGTTTTTCATGGAAGGAAATAGTATCCTGTTGCCTAGTTTTATAGTGTTAAAACAGTTTATGAAATGCTTATTTATTGGCCCGTTTCTCATTCTCTTTTAAATCTGAAAACTGGAAAACCCCTTTCCTGTGGCATTGGGCACAGTGCTTGGTGCCTGTTAGACATTCAAACATCCGCCTCGAAATGCCTCATCCTCTGAGCAAAGCGCTTTCCTGGAGCACCGACCACACGCCAGCCATCGGGCTGGGTGCCGGGGTACAGTCTAAGAAGTTGGGCACAGACCCTGGCGAGGGCCGGGACAAGGGCAGGGACAAGAACCGGTCCCGACACCACCTGCTGTGCAGTAAGGGAAGAACCGCGCTGTGGGAACACAGGGGCAGACACCCCGCCTGCTCTTGCCAGGTGAATGTTGCTGGAGGAAGAGGACCCTTGTCCTTGCTGTAGGGAAAACATTGTTGGAGTTGAGGTTTCTGGCATTGACTTTTTTTTCAGAAAGGGGGAGAGAGAGACATCGATTTGTTGTTTCACTTATCTGTGTACCCACCGGTTGCTTCTTGTATGTGCCCTGAGGATCGAACCCACAACCATGGCACATTGGGACGAAGCTCTAACCCACTGAGCTGCCTGGCCAGGGCTTATCTAGTGTTTTTTTCCCAAGAGCGTAAGTGGCCTCACCTCGGCCCCATCATCACTTCGCATCCCTGTGGGGCTGCACAGCATCTGGTTGGTGTTCTAACGGCTCACTCAGAGCAGAGGTTCAGGAACACCTCTGGGGAAAAGAGACACTGTTTCCATGACTACTGATTTCTAAATGCTTGCAATGGACCACATCTTGGACATTTCAAAATAATGGCCAGGAATCTTCCAGAGTTGAAAGCATAAGTTCATCAATGTCACAGGATACAAGATCAATCTATAAAAATCAATTGTATTTCCCCTTAGTAATAAACAGTAACATTTGAAATTTTAAAAATACCATTTAAAGAGCACACTCTCAAAAATGAAACACACGAGTTCAGCTCTAACAAAACATTATGTGCAGGATATTTTGTACAAAAATGATGCAACACTGGTAAAACTTAATCCCAATAAAATTCCCAGCTGGCTTTCTGTAGACACCAACAAGCTCACTGTAAATGTATAGGGATAGGCAAAGGAACCTAACAGCACAGCTGTGAGGAACACAGCTGGAAGGCTCACATAGCCCAATTTCAAAACTTACTCTGAAGCTATAGTGATGCTGGAGAAAGGCAGACACATAAATCAATGGAACACCACAGAGAACCACACAATTTTTAACACAGGTGCAAAAAATACTTGGAAATTACATCTGACAAAGGACTTGTATCTACATATATACAATGTAGGGTCATGCGAGGATTAGCCCGATACCCCCCATCAGTTGAATGGTGCCCGCCCGGCCAGCTGCCACACCGTTCATACCCGGATGTCTTCCCACGTCCTTGACATTCAGCAAGTCTCGCCAGACCCTGTCTTCGGCAGGCACGTACGCTTTTCCAAGCATGGCACCCTCCTCCTCCCCGCTGCCAGATGAATCCCCACCAGACCCTGGCTGAGTGTGGAAACTTTCCAGACCGGCTGCCATCGGGTCTTCCCCATGAGTAAGTAATAAAGGTTATGTTCTTCCCCTGGTCCCCTGATTGGTTTTGTTGGACTATCAAAGAACCACGTGGCACTCTGGGGAGTGGGGTTCTTACATTACATAAAAGAACTGTCAAAACCATACAAAAGGAAAAATCAAAAAACTGGTGAAGAGATATGAGCAAACAATTTATCAAAAAGATACAAAGATGGCAAATAAACATGAAAAGATGCTGAACATCACTGGTCCTGCGAGAAATGCAAATTAAAACCACAGGGTACCACTGTGCACCTAGAGTTGCTTAATTTAAAAAACAAGAACAAATGTCAGTACTACCGAGTGCATGAAGCCAGAACACTTTGGCAGGTTCTTCTACAATTAAATATATAGCTAACTTATGACCCTGCAATACTAGAAATTTACCAAGAAAAATGAAAACGTGTTTACACAAAAATCAGCAAGTGAATGTTTTATAGTTGTTTTATTCTAGTTGCCCAAAAACGCAAACCACCGTGTCCTTCAGCTGGTGGAGAACGAACAAATGGTACCTCTGTAAAACGAAATACTACCCAGCAACAAAAAGGAACGAAATGAGACACACACACACCCGGATAAATCTTAGATGCACTTTGGTAAATGAAAGAAACCAGGCCCAAGACTCCATTGTATGAGTCCATTTACAGGACACTTGCAAAGATGAAACCAGAGACAGAAAACCTATCCATCATTGCCACGGTGGAGGGAATGCAGGGGAGGGTTGACTATGAAAGGGCAACATGACAAAATTTGGGGGTGATGCAAACGGTGGAGGTGGTGATCTCTCTGCACACATTTGTCAAAACGGTGGAGGTGGTGATCTCTCTGCACACATTTGTCAAACTCCACAGAACTGCACACCACAAGGAGTGAATTACACTGAATGTAAATTTTTTAAAAACCCACTGGAGCCCTGGCCGGTGTGACTCAGCAATTAGTGTTGGCCTGTGGACCAGAGTCCCGGGTTCGGTTCCTGCGGGGGGCACCTGCACGCTTGCAGTTTGTCCCCAGCCCCAGTTGGGGTTGTGTGGGTGGCAGCCACTCAGTGTGTCTCTCTCGCGTCGATGTCTCTCTCTCCCTCCCTCTGTCTGAAGATGGGGGCAGAAATGTCCTGGGTGAGACTAAAATAAGATTAAAAACCCACCGGCCGGCCGGATGTGGCTCAGTGGATGGAGGGCCATCCCAGGGACTGAGAGGTCCTGGTTCCATTCCTGGTCAGGCATGTGTCTGGGTTGCAGGCTCGAACCCAGTAGAGGGCGTGCAGGAGGCAGCCAATCGATATTTCTCTCTCTCCCCCTCTAAAAAACCAATAAAAACATATTTTAAAAAATAATAAATAAATGACCCACTGGGATTAGGACAGAATGCACCCAGCAGCCAGGGACCCTGAGCTGGGCACACGCGCCCCGTGGCCACTCTGCGGGTGGGAAGGAGTGGACAGCACTCTGCTGGCAGACGGGCCCGGCACGACTGCGGACAGTGAGCCGGGGTCTCGGTGCTGGAAGTGGGAGCACGACGCTGCAACGAGCCCTGGGGTGCGGGGCTCAGGGACAGACGCCAGGGGAACGCCTCCGTGTGGGCAGGGTGTGGCTTCCCACGACCAGTAGCAGGAGCCCCGAGCACACACCCAGCATCCTGACTTTGCTTCCTGAGTGGCTCTCCAAGAAAAGGCACTAGGGCTCCTTGGAGAAGGCTGAGTCCAGGGCCTGGGCAGGGAGCACATGAGCCTGGGGCACCCTGTGGACCCAATGAAGTGCACTTGTGACAGTCAAAAGGTAGAAACAATACATCAACACAGTAATGAACAAATGTTACATACATACCGTGAAATATTAATCAGCCATCGAAAGGAGTAAAATTTTGGATGGATCCTAAAACATGCTAAATGAGATAAGACAGACACGGACAGACAAGTACTGTATGATTATACTTACACAGGAGACCTAGTCGGCCAATTCAGTGACAGAAAGAACGGTGGTCACCAGGGGCCAAAGGGCAGGGAGACCGGGAAGTCCCTGTTCAATGGGCAGTTTATGTCGGTGACGAGAAAGTTTTGGGCAGACATGACAAGTGCCACTGAACTGCACACGCTCACAAATGGTTAAAATGGTTAAGTGTCATATATCCTTTACCCGCACACAAAGATCACTCCATGGTCAGCAACTGAACACCACGTGTGCAGCCAAGGAAAGCCTGTGGTCAGCGCACCCACACGGAGGTCGCCATGCTCACTCGGTGGTCACTGTGCCCACACAGACGTGTGCTCCAGTTCACAAGGACACAGGCGGGGTGGGGGCGGCTGATCACACGTGCTTTCTGCCACACCTCATTTCCAGCCCAATCCGCGAACTGGCCCATCCTGAAACTCACCCATTTTCCAGGCCCAACCGGCCCCCAAACACATCCATTATGAAGACTGGCCTCAGGGGACTTGGAGCACATTCAAAACAGCATCAATTTTATTTTCAACAATAAACCAAACTGCCAGTGTGACCAGGCCTCCAGGAAGTCCCCTCACCCAGGACTGGGCTGTGGGAGGAAGCTGATTCTGGGAGGTTTCAGCAGCCTCAAAGGTAGAGTTTCTTGTTTTTTTCTTCTTTATTGATGTTAGAGAGAGAGAGAGAGAGGCAGGGAGAGGGAGAGATAGAAACATCGATGGGAAAGAACATCGATGGCCTCCTGCACACCCCACACTGGGGACCTGGCCCACAACCTGGGTGCCCTGACCCGGAATCAAACTGGCGACCTCTTGGTGCCTGGGCCGACGCTCAACAGACATCCTCAGAACTGAGAAAAGGTGTGCTTCCTTCCCAGGTAAAGGGGAGTGTGGGGCCTCAGCCTCCCACCGATCGAGTGTCTGCTGTGGTGGGATCCGCGAAGACTGCAGACCCCGCAGCTGGGGAGACGGCTGGACTAGACACCACACGCCGCTCGTGGGCTCTGCGCCCCCTGCCGTATCCGAGGACGGAATGTAGACTCCACGACTCATGGGAGAGGGAGGCTCAAGCCCCAGGAGTTTTATTGTTGTCTACAGAACACAAGGCAGGAGTCCCCAGGAGACGACGGCGCGTCCCACTGCTGTGCCTGTGGCCCGCATTTCCCAGCACTCGGTGTGTTTTCTCTAAGACATCGTTTACTTCCATCATACGCACACTCCACGGGAGAATAAATAAATGGACGATCTTCCAACACCCCCACCACATGTTCCTTTAGTAGAAAAAGTGCCCATGGTCTCTCTGCAGCCTACTTGGCCATGGTTGTCCCGCCTACGGTTTCAGAAAGTCTTCAACCTGGTGTCCTGAGAGCTCCCTGGACCTCCAGCTCCCTGTTCGAGTCCTACTGATACTGCCGGTAGTCTCCAAAGGGTGAGGACGGCAACGGGGCCGAAGGCAGCTGGGAGGGGTCTTCAGCAAACTGAGGACCTGGGATTAGATCAAAGAAAAAAATAATTTAAAAAACCACTGGAATATTATACAGTTAAGAACAAGTCCGTGTAAAGCAAAGCGATCAGCTCAAGGAAAAGGCTGTGCATCGGGCTGTAATCTCTGCACCTCTGCCAGGCTCCCACGAGCACCTCCGGGGGACTGGCCTCCCCCGCGCTGTAGCGTGAGCAGCTCTGAGGTGGTGAAAACGAATTAGAAACTGGCCAGCACAGTGAATTCCGAAGCAACGGCTGAAAACCAGAGGCGGAGTGTGAAGGTCCAGGCCACCCTGCCGTCCCACCAGCATCTGATGAGCATCTGACACCTGCCCAGAGGCACTGAGTCTCTCGCTAGGGGCCTCGCTGAAATCCAGTCAGACTGGGAGCTGTGGCCTCCTCCTAACTCTATGCTGAACCCAGGTGCCAACAGGAACCTGCAGCTGCCTCGCTCCCCTGCACACTGTCCTCGCCAGGCCAGGCCTGGGCTGCCCACGACACTCCGGCTTCCTGCCACGTCCAGCACGTCCTCATGTAGGCAGTCGAGCTGTCCGCAGCTGCAGGAACTGCACAGGCAGCAGCTGAGCACATACTCACGACGACGTAAGGGGCACTCAGCACACAACTTAACTTTCCACCCACACGTCGCCAGGGGAGAATCAGCAGCAGAGCCTTTCCGAGAGCAGGTGACCCTCCCAAACAGGAGTCACCGCCCACCACTCTTCAAAGCGAGGGGCACAATCAAATAATCTCATTGTCCATTCAAGCGTTGTTCTGTCTTCCCACCAGGAAGTAAGTCCTCGTTCACCACTGCACCCCCAGCACCTAGCACAGTGCCTGGCACACACGTGAGCAGTGACAAGTTGTCAGCTGACGACCCCTCTCGCTATGCACCTCCCTTCCTCAGCGTGACCAAGTAGCACTGACAGCCGAGAACTAGGAGGAACAACAGCAGCAAACTATTCCACCAAAGCATCTAGGCAGCTGTAGTTAGACCCTGAGCTCACATCCGGCTTTCCAGACAGAGCCCGAGCCTATTATGAGTCTCCTGACCCACAGCCTATTAATCCATAAAGTAAACCACAAACTACCACATCTTAGCAGACGAAACATGTTTTCTTTAAACACCAGGAAACCATCCCAAAACGTTTGAGTGATGATATTAAACAGAAAAAAGACTCACCATTGGGAAATTGTGCTGAGGCAAATCTTGTCAACAGGATACCAGCTCCTTCGATTAACGCTAGAAGAACACCGCCCATCGCAGCCGACCCGACCATGGCCACGGGTCCGTCTGGACAGGTTAACAACAAAGAGGTCACGTTAACAGAAACCTGGTTTAACGCAAGACGCAGTAAAGAACAGAGCTATCCATGTGGCTACAATCCACCCCATCCCCAAACCTGCTCTCATGGCTTAGACCAGTTGTCAATGAACTGTGGCCCACAGGACAAATGCCGCTCACTGCCCGTTCACAAACTTTGATTCACCGGTGTGCTGTCTGTGGCTTGCACACTATGATGGCTGAGCTGAGTAGCTGTGACAAAGACCTCACGACCCACAAAGCCTAAAATGTTTACTCTCTGGCTCTTCACAAAAGTATGCTGACTCCTGGCCTAAACTACTAAGCCCAAAGGAATTCTGGGTTGCTCTCCGTCCCAAAATTCCAGAAGATGGTTCTATGCACTTTGTCCACAACAACCCCACAGGACAGGCAGGACGATTAACCAGAGCCGATGAGGACTTGGCACAGGTGTGCAGAGCGCCCCCCACTCAGCAAGCAGGTGGCAGGCCGGGGCCGGGGCTGCTCTCACTGTGACGTGGGGGTCAGTGCTGCACACTCTCCTTCTCAAAGATTCCTAACAGATCCTCTTACTTTCCCCCCAAATCGCCCTACATTCATGCTCTACCAAGCTAAGCGATGCTCCATTTTACATATTCCAGAGGGCAATGAACCAAGAGGAGGTTTCCCGAGGTCTCGCGACCAGAGGTGCCCACAGTCAGTACTCACTTCTTGCAGCCAGGATGGCTCCTGTCAAGGCCCCACTCGTGATGGAGTTCCAGGGGTCCTCTTTCCCTCGGACTTGAACCAGACTGCAGTCGATCATGGAAAACAGACCTCCCCACACTGCAAAGCTACCTATTTTATTTAAAAACAAAACACACAAAATTTTCCTTGTCACCTTCCATATAAAGTATTATAATAAACAAGTTTAAGCAACACTCAGTATTCTTAGCTCTCACACTCCACACAAACACAAGCAAACACAAGTCTGAGTAAGTGCTAAACAGAAGTCAGAACACTTTTGCTTTTTAAACTTTTTTCGGTATTGATTTTTAGAGAGGGAGAGAGAGAAACATCGATGAGAGAGAACACAACTGGCCAACTCCTGCACGCCCCCCAACTGGGACTGGACCCACAACCTGGGCATGTGCCCTGACCGGGAATCAAACCGGCGACCTCTTGGTGCAGGGTCAATGCTCAACCACGAAGCCACACCAGCCGGGCAGTCAACACGTTTCCTAACAAAGCCTGGGCTGCATTACATCAAGCCAGAAAGTCAGAGCCGACAGGAATCAGCCAGGCCTGAACGTCAGACGGCCCCAACCACGGGCCTCTGCCCGCAGGGTGGACACAGCAGCACCTGCTCCCTGCACCTGCGCTCTGAGGGCTCCGCTTTCCTTTTCTCCATTAAGTGTCGCTGGGCATCTCCTCTACAGGAGCACAGGAGACCCGGCTCTTCTGGAACGCATGCCAGGTGCCAGCCTACATGTGCCAACTTGGCAAACGATGACAGTTACAACTAGGGAGCATCCCGGGGACAGAAATTTCTACTCCTTTCTCCTTTCCACCCTTACTCCTCCAGCATGAGACTAAATAAAACACCCCAAATCAGGGTACTGTGCTCTTCAAGTAAACACTTCCTAAACACCGTAAAAATTTATAAAATAAAGAACATACACACAGCCCTGGCCGGTTTGGCTCAGCGGTTAGAGCGTCGGTCTGCGGTCCAGAGAGATCCGGGTTCGGTTCTCGCTAAGGGTGCGTGCCTCGGTTGTGGTTTGTCCCCGGCCCTGGTTGGTCATGTAGGTGGCAGCCACTCAATGTGTCCCTTTCACGTCAATGTTTCTCTCTCTCCCTCTTCCTCTCTCTCCCTCCCACTCTATCTGAACAAAAAATGGAAAGATGTCCTCGGGTGAGAATAAAAAAATAAACACACACACAAAATCTAGAAAAACACCAAGATTTAACTGTCAGCACATCTGGGCGACACAGCACATGATCTGATGTCTCTGTTCTCCTTTTCCAAATCCTCTACAATGAACACACACGCCTGTACGTGAGGACCGGCTACACTCACAAGGGCTGAGACAGAAGAAAAACTGCACAAAGGAGCCCAGCCACCTTCCTCTGCCCGCTGAAATCTCACAGTAGTGCTGTGTTGTTGGCGGCAAGAGGCTGGGTTCCACCACAGGTCCAAACCAATCTCACCAGGACCCTATCCCCTTCTGGTTTTCACATGGCCCTACACCTGGTAGGCACAACCTCAAGTACAGCATGTGCCAGTGGTTCTCAACCTTCCTAATGCCACACCCCTTTAATACAGTTCCTCATGTTGTGGTGACCCCCAACCATAAAATTATTTTTGTTGCTACTTCATAACTGTAATTTTGCTACTGTTATGAATCGCCATCAGAAGTATGTGTTTTCCGATGGTCTTAGATGACCCCTGTGAAAGGGTCATTCGACACCCAAAGGGATTGCGACCCACAGGTTGAGAACTGCTGGCATAAGCCCTCACTTTAGGTCCAGTGCTAGATACCAGTTCCTTCTACCTCAGTATCCTATGCCTTAGAGAGAGAGAATGCCTGAGTGTCTTAGAATTACTTCACTAAATGACTCAAACAAGACTCTCACCCCTCACGAGAGTCTGAGATCTCCCCTCCTCCCAAGAATGGCCAGAGTAAGCTATGGTTATGGATGAGAATGGAGACGTTGAGTCCAAGCAGGGTGAGGAGGGTTCCCACGGAAGGGGAGGGGCACGAAGCGTCAGTGTGTCCATGTGGAAGAATGCCCGGTGTGGGGCAGAGACCAAGGAGAGAGGTAGTCATAGGAAAAAGGAGAAGATGAGAATGAACCCTGTGTGAGCTCGTGGTTTCCAATACGTGTAGCTATACAGAAACAGGTATGAAGTGCATATACATGTAAGTGGCTAGTGTGTGTCCACACGTATATACATTCATTCCAAGCTCTGGAACAGCAACACCCATCGCAATGATACATTCCAGTGCCCAGATTACAGCAACCCAGGCATATATGCCCCTGACCAGGAATCGAACCCGAGACCCTTCGGTGTGCAGGCCGACACTCTGACCACTAGGGCACTCTGGCAGGGCAAGACGCACATCACTAAGGGACGGCAGGAGGTAGTACAAGCTGCATCTGCGGAAACACATTTAATTTCCAAGCTTTTCTATCCTCTCTCTGCTCCCAGCTTCTGAATAAGCAACTCTACAAAGTGTAACGAATGTCATCTTTTCAAAATTGGCACGGACTTCCGCAGTGTCCAAAAGCTGCCTTGGAGAGGGGCCTGATCAGGTCACCGGTTTCTCTCGTGAAACCCGTCCTTGGCCTCAATTCTCCGCGGCCTTATGTGACCCCAGGAGCCATCGCCCCTGACTCTCACACCTCAGCCTGAACAGTCTTCCTTCTGGATACAAGGAGGAAAGTAAACGCACCTCTGAGCATCTGAAGGATAGACAAGGTTTTCAAACGGGTGCAACAATTCAAGCTACTTTCTTAATCAACCATAAGGAGAACCCACAGGGGTATTCACCCGCACCAAACCGTGAGGTCTAACTAACATCCGTAACCGGTATAACCCACAGCAGAGGAAAATAACGGAGCTTCATCTTCCGATACACAGGGAACGTCTGGAGCACAAATGGAAACACTTGGCCTCCGTACCTCCCAACTGCGGAGCCCTGGTTTTAATAGCGGTCAAGCTCCCTCGGAGTCTGTGGTTTACTCCCTACGGAAAAGGAAGCAAAAGCGTGTTAGCAGCACAGTCCTTCCAACCCACGCGCGGGCCGACAGGGGCTTCGGCCAACCGAGGTTTTCAAGGGGATGAGACACGACGCCCACTCACCACCGGAGAATTGCGAAAACCTTTGACGGCTTGAAAGATCCCGCCTCCGAGGGTGCCCATCGTGAAGGCCCCGCCACAGTCGTCCACAATGCGCCAGGGGCTGAGGACGGGCAGAGACAGACCTTAGTCCTGCACCACCCGCCGCCGCCCCGCGTCCCCGGCCCGGAACGTGCAGGCCCGGAGGACACCTGCTTCCACCCCTCACGCCGCAGACGACTCCTGCCTCCTCGCGCCCGGGAGAATCCCAGCCGCGGACACGGGGCCCCCGCCTCCCGGAGCCCAGCCCGACCCCGCGGGCAAAACCGCCGGGCCCTCGGCGGACACGCTCCGCCACCCCGGGGCCCGCGGGGCCCAGCGAGGCAGGGACGCGCCGAGGTCACCCGGCGGGCAGCGGGGGCAGCGACGGGCCGCGCAAAGGGCGGCGGGGCCCCGGGGAGGGGGCAGGGCGGCGGGGCCACCACGCCCGAGCCTGGACCCCTCGCCGTCCACCGCAAGGTCACGGGGGGCTGGGCGCGGGCGGCCGGCGCCGGGGAGCCGACGGGCCGCTGCAGCCCGCGCCGCCCACGGCTGCCGGGCCCGCCCCGACGACCTCGGAGCCTGGACACCGAGGACCGCGCGGGCGAACGGGCGGCGGCGGCCGAGGGCGCCGGGCACACTCACCAGGGCTCCCGCGCGTACTCCTCCATCTTGACTCCAGCGCGCGAGCAGCGCCGGGGGCGTGGGGCGGGGCCTGGCCCGGCGACGGAAGTCACTCGAGAGGAGGGCGTTAAAGTCTGTGGGGATTGGCTCGCCTCCTCCGCCCGCAGGCACTGGGAGCCCGGAAGCGTGAGGCTGGCCCCGCCCCGGTCCTCCGGGCAGCCGGTCCGACTCGGGGCGACGAGCCACCGGCTGCGAGACGTTCCGGTTCCCTGTCACCGGGGCGCGGTGCCCCGCGAGCAGCCCGAGGTCGCCTCGCTGGGTTCGCACGCTCCCCGGAATCGACCCCTTTCCTTGGCGCCGGCTGCGGGCTGCGCGTGAACAGGGTCTCGGTGCCGAGACCCGCTCGGGGCGCCCCATGGAGGGGTCCCCAGAGGACGCGACCCGCAGGCCGGGGACCCAGCGCCCTTCGGGGCTGCGGACGGGCTTCGGCCCCGGCAACCCCGCCGCCCTCGCGAGAGGAGCCACACGCGCCCCAGTTCGCCTGGGACAACGCGGGGAGCCCCCTCTCGCGGCTGGTACCCCGTGCCTAAGCTCCGACCCCCGACCGCACGGTTGCGGGGTCCCCCGGCCCAGCCCCGGAGCCGCGAGTGTGCGGAGAGCGCGCGTGTCCCCCGAGGCGGCGCCCGCGGGTGTCGCGGGGGGACGTGCCCGAGATCCAGAGTCAGGGACCGCGGGTCCCCCTCCTGAGCCCGGCCGGGGCGTGGACATGGAGGGGGGACCCGCCCCCCGCCCCCCTGCGTGGTTCTCCTCCCCGAGCGCGCAGACCCCCGCGGACGCAGGGGCTCCGGGTCACAGGCCACGACGGGGGCCCAAACCCCAGTCCCACCAGGTCCACTGCCCCGAAACCCGGCCGTCGTGGCCTTGGGGCCCCAGTCCGGCGGGCTGCTTGCTAGGCCGGGGCGGCCACGTCTCCCTTCTGCCTCGGCCCGCGCCGGCCTCGCCCGCCTTTCGGGAGACGTGGGTGCAGCCGCTCGGTCCCGGCCCAGGGCCCAGACGAGAGAACCAGAGTGCTGGGTGCCCAGACCTCGCAGTGTCTGAGGCTATGCCGCCTTCCTGTGTTACCCCGTTTCTCTGTCCAGTGACTGCAGGCCCGGGAGGCGGTGCTCTGTTTCTCTAGGTACTTGTAACATCCTCACCCCCTTGCCCAGGGCCCCGCGAGGCTTGATAAGGTCACACACCTCAGATTTGAGTCCGTGTCATTTGACTCCAGAGCCCGTGGCCTTATCTGCCATCCTACACGGCCACCCTGTATTCCTGAACCACCGTGAGTAGTTACCGGGTTCTGTCCCCCTTCCCCGCACAGGCTGCGTTCTGGCTCAAGTGTGGGGACTCTTGCCTCCCTTTGTCTCCCCAGCCCTCTCTCTCTGGGGAGCAGGCCATTGCTGGCATCCTCTGACCCCCACGATGAACCTGTTTCAGGTGGAACTGGAGTCTGAGCTCGGAAGACCTTGCCCCTCATTGCAGGGGCTGGGGAAGGCCGCAGTGCTGGGCTCGGGGCTCCCCAATCCTCCATCCTCACCGTGATGCCTCCGGGAGAAAGACTGGGAGCCTGTGAGAAGTCACAGGAGCCCTGCAGCTCGAGGGAGCAAACGGCTTCAGACTGGGTCAGAGCCCAAGGGCCTGCGTGTGGGGTTGTGGGGCCTGTGGCAGAGAAGATTCCGGGCTGTGCGCAGAGGTGCTTGCTGGGGAGGCTGAGTCCCGCCCTTGCAGCCGGGGAGCTGGGGACTGAGGTTCAGCAGGGCAGAGGCTACTGAAACCCGAGGGCGACAAGGGAACCAGGTGGCACAGGGCTGAAGGTGGGTGTTTGTGAAGAATCCGGCCCTGGTTCCTCTTCAGGAGGAAGCGTCGTTGGAGGCTGGGAGAGCTGCTCTCAGCTGATGGGACTAGAGGTGTCGGGTGGTTCCAGAGCCAGGGATCCTGGAGGTGACGCTTCCTCCTGGAAGCCCTCCTGGGCTGCAGTGAGCCTGAGGACTGCTGGGTGGGGAGGGAGCCAGGGAGGGGTGCACACAGCACCCTGCCACCAACTATAGGAAGAGAGATTTTTAAAAGTTACAGCCCCAGCCGGTGTGGCTCAGTGGTTGAGCGTCGACCCATGCACCAACAGGGCACACGCCCAGGTCGTGGGCCCATACCCAGTGGGGGCCGTGTAGGAGGCGGCCAGTCGATGTTCTTTCTCATGGATGTTTCTCTCTCCCCCTCTTCCCTTCCTCTCTAAAGTCAATAAAATAAAATTGAAAAGACAATTAGAATAACTGTTGATAATCGAGGGTTTGCCTATATCTGGTATAACAACTGAGTGTTTCCTGTGTCTGTATGAATTTAATGTTCACAACAACTGTACAAGGTCGGTACCCTGCTGTTCAGGCTTCAGACGGTGAGGCCGAGTCTCAGAGAAGGTGGCTGGCCCGGAGTCGCGCGGCCGGTAAACAGCAACAGGAAGACCTGACACAGGTGGGTTGGCCTGGAGGGGCCACGCTTCTGTTGTTGATTGTGGTAAGACTGGTGTATACGATGACACGCACTTCAGTGCACGACGTTATAATCCGATGCTCGTCTACACTGCACGGTGTTCACCGTCCGTCACCAGTGGATCCTGTCGCCCACTTCGCCCCCCCCCGACCACCCTGCTGTTCTCTGTACCCACGAGTGGGTTTGGTCTGGTTTCAGGTCCCACAGGTACGTGCGACCCATGGTGCTGGTGTTCAGGAGAACCGCTCCTGCTCTCCAGCCTCTGCTCTCTCTGCCAGCCTTGTGCACACTGTTGGATGACTTATTCGAAGTTACTGGTTGATTAAGCGTCTCCAGTGCTAGGACGGAAATACCCAGAAGGCAGGGCCGCACTGATTTTCTGTCTTCGGTTGCATCCCTTGGTCTCAGAGGGGGCCTGACGTGCACTAACTCATGCTGACTCACAGACACTGACCACGACCCGGGTGCTCGAAGCCCTCCTTCCTCCTTCCCCTCAGGTCCGCCTGCCTCACCCTGCACTGCAGTCCCACCGGTCAGCACCGGCTCCCTCCTCAGCCTTAGCCTGCAGCTGGACCGTGGGCGTGACACGCAGGGCCAGGCTTTGTCCCAGACCATCCCCGGACTCGGCAGGTGCTGATCAAGTGACTGTGCCTCTGGCTCGGGGTGGAAAGACGCCAGGAAAGATCGGAGCATCTACCCCGATGGGTTACACCAGGGCTTCTCGGCGACTTCGGGCAGGGGATTGAATGTCTCTGTGCAAGGCAGCGTGGCGGACGAGCGGTGGGAGCTTGTGTGAAACATGCCAGGTCTGTTGCAGCAGTGCCCCTCCCTGCAGCCCAGGACTGTGTCTCCCTGGTGACACGGGGACTCGGGGACTCATGCCCTGGACTGAGATGCGGGTGGCACCTGCCGGCTGCCCCTTGGTGCTCCCAAAGGAGCTCTCTGCAGACAGATGCTGCCACAGGAAGCAGCAGAGGGGAAGGGTCGGAGGTTCAAACCCTCCCCCCCAAAGCCTGGGTGCTTCCTGGAACTGATAGCCCCTTAGGGCTTTCCTGCGTGTGCACCCCTCTTTCTTCCCCAAGCAGTCGGCCCGTTTTCAGTTTGGTTGTTTCTCTCTCCTCTCTCTCTCTCGGCCAAAGTTGGCCAAGGCCTCGGAAGCTCAGCACCCAGATTCCTGTCGGCAGAGACAGTGGTCGGGCAGGGGGTTCGCAGGGTCCTGAAAAGCATGTGTTTCCTGGGGCTGTAAACAGCTGCCCCCCCCCCCCAAAAAAAAACAGCACCAAATACAGGAGAAGGGTCAGTGGGCCAGGCACCACCCACAGGCCAGCCAGACAGGTGCGGAGGTGGCAGGAAAAGTACACTACGCACTTGAACCGCAAGAACCCCGCGGCCCGTCCTGCTGTCCTGGCTCAGATCTGCTGCTGACGGCCGCTGCATTTTTGTGTCTTTTTCTCATCGCGTGGCCCCCTTGTCTTTAAAAGGCTAAATGCTCTGTGCTAAATTTGGTCACACAGCGCTCCAAGATTCCCTGGAATGTCCTCAAGTTTCAAACCACTCTGACAGGGAGGCAGGCCCGCCCCTGCCAGGAGATTGGCCTCTGCTTTCAGGGCCGGGCAGTTGCTGGGTCTTATTGGCCACTGGGCAGACCAGCCAGGTCCACTAGCCCTGGGCCTGGGAGGCTGCTGCTTGTAGTTAACTGCCCAGCACCTGCCGCGCTCAGGGCGGAGGCGCCGAGTCCCCGCTCAGCCAGGAGGTTATCCCCAAGCCCCCTGCTCCATTGAGATCAGCCAGCCCCTCCCCTCTGCAGCCCCCCAGGACCCCCACATCCCCCAAAAGAGTCACAGCCGCCTTGCCAAGATGTCCAAGGTAGCCAAGTACCGCCGGCAGGTGAGCGAAGACCCTGACATCGACTGCCTGCTGTCCACCCTGTCTCCCGAGGAGATGGAGGAGCTGGAGAAGGAGCTGGACGTGGTGGACCCCGACAGCACCATCCCGGTGGGGCTGCGGCAGCGGAACCAGACGGACAAGCAGTCCACGGGCACCTACAACCGGGAAGCCATGCTCAACTTCTGTGAGAAAGAGACCAAGAAGCTCATTCAGAGGGAGCTGTCCATGGACGTGAGTGAGGGGTGCTGGGGGTGGGGCGGAGGGCGGAGACCGTGTGTGATGGCGCAGCCCCGGATCCGATGCTTCAGGGTGACTGCGTGCCCTGAGCCGGAGCCGGGGTGTCCAGCATCGGGGCTGCGGGCAGGCGGGGAGCTGGGTGTCCTTCTGTATGTGGCCCCACACCTGTGGGTTCCTTCACATGCACCCCATCCAGTGAGCGGGAGGAAGGACAGGGATGTGCCCGGGGAAGAGAGCTGTGGGCCCTCCCCGCAGGGAACAGCTCCTCGTTAAGCCCTCGGCCCACGGAGGGGGCTGCGGGCAGGTGGGCTCCCCACAGCCACCGCCTGGGCTGAGTGGCTTCAGTGCTCTCGAGGGAGGGGAGGGGAGGGGAGGGCAGGGCAGGGCAGGGGAGGGCAGGGGAGGGCTGTACTTTCTGGAAGAGCCTCTGGAGGGAGCAGCCCCTCCTCCCGCAGTCAGCCCGGCTGCCCCAGGCCCCCCTGCTGGGCCAGGGGTGGTTCCCAGCTTGTTTCTGCCCGGGGCCAGCAGGGCTGGGGGTGCAGTTTAGGAAGCGCCAGTCCACACCCAGGATGGGTGAAAGCCACGCCTGGTCCGTGGTCCCAGGTTGGGGTGCAGCTCTGTTCTCATCATGCGATCGCTCGCTTGTGAGTTTCTCTGGGACAAACCAGACTCGCTCCACGCAGCCGGCTCGGTCCCCTGTCCACGGTGAAGCCTATTCAGCAGGAAGAGGGTCTGAATCTCTGTGCTGGTCTCTCCCACTCGGTCCCTGCGTCCTTCCTGCCTTGTCCATTCCGTGGGGTTCCTGGCGAGACAAAATTGGGTCCCCCACCTAAGAGGGTTGCCGTGGAAACTTAGAGGGGCTGGCGTGCGGTCAGCACGTGGTAATCACAGCTGTGGGACCGCTGGCCCTTTGAGTCCAGACCCAGAATTTACCGAGTGTGGAAAGCAGACCCCCCTGCCCCTCCCCCAGGCGGCGCAGTGCCGGGGTGAAGGGCAGGCCCCGTGCTGAGGGCGGGTGACCTCACAGCCAGGGCAGAGGTGGGCTGCAGGATGGGCCCACAGCGGCTCCCCCTGACCCGCCTGGACTCCACGCGCGGAGCTGGAGGTTGGTCGAGACGGTGCCTTGAGACCAGCCCTGCTGACTTGGGCATTTACAGAGAGCCGGCCGCCTGTTCCGTTTGGGCCCCACAGATCTTGGGAAATGGGCAGTTTTATCCCCATCATACAGGTCAGGAAACTGAGGCAGCGGGAGGGTGAATGACAGCCCCGAGGTCACACAGCCAGCAAACGACCTTCCTGGCTGAGGGCTGTCCCCCTCCACTCTGCCGCACAGGTGGGCCCCTGCCCTGAGCCTATCATCTACTTAGTCACAAGACACCTGCAGAGCCAGCACAGGGTGTTACCTGTTCCCGTCCTGACGGTTGTGGGAGCCTTAGCTGTGACAGGCTGGTCCGTCCCCAGTGACTGACACGAGCTATTAGAACTGCTCACACTGGTGTGACTTAGGGGCCAACTGCTCACACCGGTGTGACTTAGGGGCCAACTGCTCACGCCGGGTGTGACTTAGGGGCCAACTGCTCACACTGGTGTGACTTAGGGGCCAACTGCTCACGCCGGGTGTGACTTAGGGGCCAACTGCTCACGCCGGGTGTGACTTAGGGGTCCAACTGCTCACGCCGGGTGTGACTTAGGGGCCAACTGCTCACGCCGGGTGTGACTTAGGGGTCCAACTGCTCACGCCGGGTGTGACTTAGGGGTCCAACTGCTCACGCCGGGTGTGACTTAGGGGCCAACTGCTCACGCCGGGTGTGACTTAGGGGCCAACTGCTCACGCCGGGTGTGACTTAGGGCAAGTGAGTCCTGCCCAGATAGCAGGAGGTGGTGAGGAATTTCGGTTGGTTCCTCCCGGTGGGATAATGCTATTGTGGACACACCTCGTAAAAGGATGCTGGTCTTTTAGACGGGGATGCGGGAATATTCACGGGAAACTGATGGGACTGGGGGTGCGCTCTACGCGGTCCAGGGGAGTACGGGGGAGACAGGCCTGGCTGTCCCGCTCCAGAGGGCGCTGAGGCCGGGAGGCGGGCTGTCCTCCCTACTTCCTGTGTGTGACTGACGTTCTCCGTGCTCACTTTCTGGAGACAGAAACCGGGAGTGGAAAGGCTCAGTTTGTCTTAAGCTCTGGGCCTTCCTGGGGAGGGGACACCTCATAATTCATGATGGGAAGGACTCCGGAGGGACCTCTGTCCTGAATGTGTCCCCCAGCCCACCCCTGGGCTCCTCTGGGTCATCTCTCTGTCCCCGGGTCCCAGACCCCACTTCCTTCTGGTGGGTGAGGACCAACACCCGTGCGAGCGCCCCTCCCCCTCGGCTGTGCCAGCCTCCCCGAGGGCGCCTGGGCACCTTGTTGTCACATCTGTTTCTCTCTCAGCCTCTGCTTGTGCGTGATGTTGGGGGGGGGGGGTCGAGGTGAGGGGCGGGGCTTGGACCCCTGCCTTCCCTCCTTTAAAGGGCGGAGCTCCCCACCTGGGCTGCACCCTCAGGGAGAAGACAGAGCCCCTGGGCGGTGCGCAACCAACCGCACCGCCATGAAACCCTGTCCCTGGCTCAGGTTTCGGGAACCGGATCCCCAGTGGGTCAGCTCGTGTGTCCTCTTTCCTTCCCAAGTGGGAAAGAAAACCTGCCACCTGCCTCCCACGTTCCTCCCTGCGAGAGACCGGGCTGGGGGAGCCTGCCTCGGCCAGGGGCCAGGGGCGCTGGCTTCTCCCCCAGGTGCCCTCCAGAAGCTCCCCGCCGGCCGAGCCTCCTGACCCGCCTGCTGCTCGCTGGCCCACAGCCGCAGCACGCCCCCCCCCACCCCACCCCCCGTCCCAGGCACGGCCCAGAGTCCAGGAACCTCCACAGGGGTGGGGGTGGCTGGGCCCCTGCAGCACACTGGGCACAACAGCCCTTGATCAAGGGGATTAACCCCGATGGGTACACACCCAGAATAGCCCTGGAGGCTGCGGAGAGGGCAGGAGAGGGGGTGGGGGACTGGTGACCCCGGAAGCAGAGGCAGAGGTCCAGGCTTCTTCTCAGGGTGGGGGATGGGCGTTGGCTGCGGGGGCCAGAGAGGGAGGCAGGTCGGATGGACAGGATCTCGGAAATGGCTGGACAGCGAGGGGCTGCGGGTGGTCCAGGGCTACAGCTGGGTCTGCGTCCCACTGACAGGGAGGTTGCCCCAGCGTCAGGGTCCCCGGCTGAGAGGGAGGAGGTGCATCGAGCAGACACCCAGTGGGGACAAGGCCCTCAGCCAGCCTCTCTGCCGGCCCATCTCCCTGTCCCAGGAGGCCCTGGTGTCCATGTCGGTGTGGGTGTCACGTCAGCACCCCGCGGCTGAGCCGAGTGTGAGGCCTGGATGGGGTGTTGGGAGGTACAGAAGCAGAAGGGCCACCCGCACCCCAGCCTCTGCGGGAGGACCCATGAACTGTGTGTGTTTGCAAGGAGGGAGGGGTCCCATGCAGTCATTAATGCCCCAACTACTTAGTGAGGGCCCTGCCCACATGGAGCTTATATGTCACAGGTGAGGGGTGCTGTCCTCGTCCGTGTGCCGTCTGCATGCAGGAGCCCAGTGGGCGGGGCCGGACACTGACACTCAGATGCCACCCAGTCGGATGCCCAGGAATGCCCGGGGCCGTGGCACCCAGGCCTGTCGGATGGGCTGTGGTGACCAGAGCTCTTCCGGGAAGGGCCTGGGTTCCTGCACCGCGGAGAGCCAGAAGCCCGGGGTCCGGGTTCGGTTCTGCTGCTGCTCCTGAGTCCGTGGACTGGAGCGGGTCCCCGCAGAAGGGGGAGGTCACTGTGCTGGGTCCTTTCAGTGCGAAGGCTGTGAGCAGAGCTGCCTGGGGCACAGGCCTCCTCGGGCTCGCGACCTTACCTGTGGGGTGGGGAGGGCCGCACCCAGGGGTCCTGGGGGATGAAACTGGTGATGTTTGGAAAGTGTGCACAGTCTGCAGACTGGACCTGCCCATGTGCCAAGTGGATAGTTTGCTTTCAATCCCTCGTGAGGTTGGAAATGTCATCAGTGGGATGAGGGAGAGGAGCGGGGACCTTGTCGCTCCCCGCCGGGCCCCTCACCTAATTCATTTTCCACCCCGGGCTCCAGGGCCCACGCTAGGCCGATTCTCCTCGTCCGTCCGCCACCACCGAAAAGCACAGCAGCCTTGGCAGGAATGTGCTCCCCGTCCCTGGGGTCCACTGCGGACAGAGCAGGCCGGCCGGTCGTCAGGGCGCTGTTTACAAACAGCCGGGAATGGAAGGCCTCACCCCCCCCCAGTCCCCTCACCTGCCTCCCTCAGGGACAGTCCTGGCCTCCTCAGCGGGTCACTCGTCAGCCCTCACTTCCAGGCCGCGGTGCAGGACCCGAGCCCGCGGAGCGACAGAACTCGGGGGGCGAGGGCAGAACTCCCAGGGAGCTCAGCTGCAGATGCACAGAGCCTGGCGTCACAGCCCCGCTAGGCCTGGTCCGGGCTCTGCTGTTTCGGGTGCCGGGTGTGCGGCCCAAACAAGTCCTTGACCTCCCTGAGCCTGTGCTTCTCGGTGCACAGACGGAAATGGGGCCTGGGCACAGGTGGTGGGGGGCTGCAGCCCTCACAGGCCCGAGGAGCCCACGTAGGGGGAGGACGGTGCGAGCAGGCTGTCTCCTCCCTGCACCCCCATCCCAGCCACCCGCGCCCCAGCCTCTGCGGGAGGACCAATGAACTGTGTGTGTTTGCAAGGAGGGAGGGGCCCCGTGCAGTCATTAATGCCCCAACTACTTAGTGAGGTCCCGGCCCACATGGAGCTTATATGCACAGGTGAGAGGCACACATACACATACACGCAGAGATCATGTGTAGCATGATGCAACATGCACGGGTTATAAGGAAGAATGCCGTTTCGGCAAAGAGCACGTGACCGACATGTTGGTGGTCAGGGAAGACACCGCCAACTGATGCCCTCGGAGCCCAGCCGGG